TACTGGCTGCTTTTTCCAGCTACCTCTGCCCTCAAGGCCCTGACAATCCCATTCTACATCCTTATAGTGCCTGACCTATAAGGAAGAAAGCTATCCTGTCTCAACCTCCATGATCCTAGCTTCCCTGAAGCCTGAGACTGGGCTGGGGCCATTACCCCACCCACTCTGGACCAAGCCTGTTGCATTAGAAGCAGTGCCATGAGTAGCCAGGCCTTTGTGTTCCTGTGGCCACAGTATAGGGCACAATTGATGACATGGAGGAGAGTGGGGGAGATTCCATCGATGACAAAATGCCACTTTACTGCATTTACAGCTCATCAAAGTGCTATTCAATGTCATCATCCCCATTTTGTTGAATAGAAGACTGAGGCACAGCGAAGCTGAATAAGCCTTCACTGAAGACCTTAGGATACAAAGAGATAAATAGCTTTTTGTGGTGCACATATCTGTGATCCCAGTACTCGAGAGGCTGAGGCAGGAGGATCACATCAACTCTGAGGCTAGCCTGGGCTACATTGTCCAGCCTGGGCGACATAGTGAGTTCAACACCTGCCTGAACTATGTTGCGAGACCCTGTCTCAAACAAAACAAAACAGGGAGCTGGTGATTTAGCTCAGTGGCTCCGCACCTGCCTGGCAAGCACAAGGTCCTGAGTTCGATTCCCAGGTCCTCCCCCAAAGGAAATCAAACCAAGCAAAACAAAGAGATAAATAACTAAAAGCTCTCAGCCTCAATGACCCATGTCTAGAAGAAGGAGCACAAATAACACAGTATGCAAAGTGGTAGTGTTGGGGTGGAGATATGTGGGAAGCCCCGCAGTCCCGGGGCTGACTCTCCCAACGACGAAGAAGGTTGTACAAGAATCAGACAGGACTGAAAGCGTAGAAGCAAGTTGTACTCTTACTCAGCAAGCATGCAAGGGTGCAGCTGCATTCTCTCAGAAAGACAGGCAGGGGTGCCCGAAACAGAGCCACCATTGAAGAGGGGCTCGAGGTGTTGGTTTTATAGTAGTCAGGGCCTATCCTGTCTCTGGGCTGAGGGCTCCCCTACTTGATTAATTAATTGGTTGACTTAGCTGCTTACTAGAGATAACAGGGAAGTGGTAATTCTTTACAGAAAAGAAACACCAAAAAAAAAGGCAGCATTATTTCCTGTGTTCTCAGGTCTCAGG